ATGGTCTGGGCTGGCCCCAAGTCCTCTGTGGTCTGCAGGGAAGGAGCTCCTTGGAGCCAGATTTGCGTGTGGAATTAGCTGGAATCCCTTCAAAAGCCTGTGACACTTCATCTCCTCAGCAAAACATCTGAGATGCTGCACATTTATTTACTGGGATGTTCCAAGTTATAAAGTGCCTTTCTAAACCACCCTGGATACAGGCTGGATGGGAGCTGGCACCGTCCCTCCTGCACTTGGAAAAGCCCACAAAGAGGCTGGAGGAGCTCTAGGAGCACAGGGGAAGCCTGGTGGGTGTTAAGTCAGTGATAAACCTGCTTTGAAAGCAGAACCTCTGCTAGCATAGAAAAGGGCCAAGATTTTGGAAAAGATTTCACACCCAGTGCTGAGCACTGTGCTCAGGAAAACCCAATTATCCAGAACAGCAGCCCAGAGAGGCAGAACAATCCCTGCCCTTGAAGACACACAAAAGCTGACTGGATGATGGCCAGAGCAACTGGACTTCACTGGCTCCAGCTGGCTCTGGAGACTCCCTGGGTGTCCCTTCACCCCATTATCCACTGCCTGTGGAACTGCACATCCCTGACACCACAGGCAAGTCCCAGTCAGCCCCAGAGCACTCCCTGGAGCTCAGCTCTCCTCCTTGGCTCCCTGGCATGAGGTACCCACAGCACAGGCCCAGTCCCTGAGCTGGGTGCCTTTTGCACACAGGACAATGGCTCCTGTCTTGACAGCATTCCCACAGTCCTGTGGACAAGCCAGAGGGTGCCCCTGGCAAAACAATCTGCAGGAAAGCTGAAATGTTGGAGTGAAAGTCTGGCTGGTTTGCATTTGAATTTCAGTAAAAATGCACTTAGACCAATGTTTGGCTCCAAAAACCCTTCCAGGTTTGAAAGCAGCTCCTAAGAGCCTTGCTAAAGCAGTTCTTGGCAGTGGGGTGCTGTCTGCAGCAGAAACACCAGTTCCCAGTGACAGACCCAGGATGGGAACTGCCCCTCCCTCACACCCAGACACACCTTGGGAGGGGCACCCTGTAAGGATGGATTTTACACCTTCACCTGGGGATTAGCATGGAAAACTAGGGGTTCTAAAGCCACTTCATAACCTGGAACATCACAGCAAATAAATGTGCAGCATCTCAGACGTTCTGCTGAAGAGTTGAGGCACTGTGGGCTTTTGATAAGGTTCCAACTAATTCCACATACAAGTCTGGCTCAAGGCCTTTCCTTTCCTTCCAAGCAGACTGTTACTAAGCCCTCCCATCAAAAGGCTGAATGCAGTGACTGACTGCATTCCTTCTGACCAGGACTTTCTCTGGCCTCTTCTCCCTTGCTGCAAGGCTTGGCCCTCCCTAACAGTGCAGCACAAGGAGAGACAGGACCATGCTGCAGGACATGGGTTGAAGGATGTTGGGTTCTGCTGCTTGCAGGGACCTGTTTTGAACTGAGACCACTTGGATTTGCTTGGACATTTGTAGCCACAGACCCCCAAGACTGTGCAGTAGCACAGGGGAGGGCAGTTCTCCACCAGGGAGCTCACCCTAAGTCTGTGTGTATTCCAGGGCTGGCAGGAAAACAGGGAGGAGCAGAGGCAGCATCACAAGGGGAAACATCAGAGGCTGCCTTTGGAATAATCCCTGCCACGGAGAGGGGTTCAAGCAGCTGTGGGCTCTTCCAGATTACCCCTTCCAAATCCCTGGGATCTGTCAGAAAAGAGGCTGAGTTGTTGTTTCCACAGCCTGACTCTGGAAACTACACCCAGTAACATTTCACAGAGATGGTTCAGGACTGGCCCTGCTCCTGTTCTCCACAGTGCAATAAAAGAGTGTGCTGGCAGCTCAGAGAATTCCCCATGGCATGTTCAGATGTGGCTGATGTCCTTTAAAATAATCAGGGCATCCTCCAAAACACTGCCTGAATTCCCTGCTCCTGAAAACTGCCTGCTGGAAGTGCTAATGTGCTGTTAGACTCTGTGTGATGATTATAGATGATAAACATAATTATTTTGGGTCCTGATTGCCTCTGCTGTCTCCATTCTGTTGCTGATGTGTAAAGCAATCTCAGTGTTATCAGTTTTATGGGCAGAGTGTGGAGGTACAGATTTATTCCTGCAGGCAAACCCTCAGGGAACAACCCCCCTCCCCCCTGAGGCACTGAGCTGTGCTGTGACAGATCCCTGCCTCTTGGAGCCTTTGAGATGCACCTGAACAGTGCCCAGCTCAGGTCAGACAGTGATGGAGGTGGGTTTCCTCATCCAGCTGGAAATCCCAGGGATTTCCCACTGGAGATGGAGTGGGAGTGATTTGATGACCTCTGCCCAAAGCAGGGCTGCCAGGCAGGTACCTCACAGCAGGATTTCATGGAGATGAAGGAGATCAACTCTCCTAAAGCAGCACAGGGGCCCATTCAGCCTGGGGGTACCATGAGTGAAGCTGGGGTGGGGGAGCCCTTCAGATTAGGACAGCAGATGCCTCAGGTTGGGATCCAGAGCACAAACCTCTGACTTTTGTTTTAAACCCCTGACTAATCCATCCTCCAAAAGAGTGCAGTTGTTTCCCAGCCATGAGAATAAAGACAGCATTGCTAAGCCCTATGGGAGGACGTCATTGTCCCTTATAGAAAAGGTCCCTTATAGACAAGACACATATACTGTGACAACTGTAGGGATCTGCACAGGAGAAATAACCAAAGGAAGGCCCACTCTTTGTGTTCCATCATCTTCTCTTTACTGTCACATTGTCCTGTTTGTGGCCTTGGGCTGTGAACTGCCTCTTGCACCACCCCTGGCACATCCTGAGAGAGGTGAAGTGGCATGGTCTGTACAGCACCATGAACCTTCCTGCCAGTGCAGGAGGAAGGGGGTACTGGAGAAGGCTGAGGAGCAGAAGGAATAGTGGGATTGGCAGATTTGAAGCTCCCCAAGCAGCCCTGCTTCCCTCCACACTAACCCCATCATGACCTGGCTCCATAGAGACAGCCACTGCCTGGAAAACAACTTGCTCTTTAAGTTTTATTATTAAATAAATAAATCCAGCCAGCTATCACAAGGCCCTGCAGCCAGAGCAGCCAAGGGAAGGATTGGAGAAGGCAGAAAAGCTCCAGTGAGAGCAGGTAACCAGAGACATGTTCAGCACAGAGCAGAGACAAGGCTCCTCACATGAGCAGGCTGCAGCCCCACAAAGATCCCCCCTGGCCTGGCCTGGCTGTGCAGGGAATTCACACGTACGGGCAGGGCGACGCCGAGCCCTGGCTGCTCAACAATCAACTTTTATTCTCTGCAGACCAGCAAAGCCAAGGTTTCAGTAAACACACAACCCCAAAAATGTGCCTGTGGATTGGGTAGAGCAAAGCCTGTGCTCTGCCTGCCAAATTCAAAGGCCTGCTCTGCTGGGTGGTTTCACGGTGAGGTTTCTGTGGGGAGGAAGTGTTGCCAGTGGTCAGGGCAGGGAGCAGGGCTCCAGGAGAGCTGCATCCATCCCTGGCTCCAGCAATGTGGAAAGCTGTGATTGCAGGAAATCTCACACTCACTCGGAGCTGCTCTCCCTCTGCCCATCCCTCCTTGCTGAGGCACAAAGCTCTGAGGGGAGGCTGATAACACTGCCTGACCTTGCAGGGCTGTTGTGGTGCTGGGTGATTGATGCCTGAAAGGATGTCAGAGCTCTCTGGATTAAAATCTCTCTGGAAGGCACTGGGAGACTGCACATAGGGTGCAGACACTGAGGGATGCAGCTCACACACTCTGCTCCCCTCCCTGCCTGCCAATCCCCACACAGATTTGCTGGGCCTGCTACTCCTGCATTTAAATATTTACAAGATGGGCCTGCAGGAAAGCTGGGGTTTGGAGCAGAGCAGCCAACCCTCAGCTCAAAGCTGCACTCACAAACCCAGCCTGCTGCTCAGGCTGCCCAGGCTCAGCCCCAGCTCTGCTGAGCCCACAGCAGACACAGCCCAGCCCTGCTCAGTGTGGCCAGGCTGGAACCTGGGCCCTCCTCTGGCCTTGGCATGGCTTTCTCTTCCTTTCACCCTCCACGTCATTCACATGCTGCCTACTCCATCTTTTACCTCATTCACAAAGACAATAAAAAGGCTGGGAGCCCTGATCCCTGTGACCTGCCTTTGGAAAAGTGAGGTACTTTACCTCCTGACCAGCCCCATCACCTCCTCCATGGGGAGGACCTTGCCTGGAGGTGTGCACAGCTCCTGGAGCAGCTCTTTGACCTGGGGAGAACCCCCCAACTGCACCAACAGTTTCTATAACAAATTAGAAAGCAAGCAAGAAGGAGCATCACTGTCACAGGATGGCTCTGTGTTGAGCAGCTGTACTGGGCTTGGCTCTTTACAGTATTTTATCCAACTTTTGGGCTCCCTTCCTGTCCTAAACAGATCTGGACACTTTAAACTTTTCTAAACCTACTCTTACCTTATTGGCTGTGTTTCAGAAATAGGTGGCATGAGTCAATCACAGAGGACCAGTTTATAACATTGTAAGCTACTTCCCTCAAGTGGAGGGAATAAAAATCACTCAGCTGTGTGGCACAGGCTCTGTGTGCACCTCAGGTAGGGGGAAGATAATGGGAGATGGACACCTGCACGAGGTAGAACCTACCAAGCTGTCTGAAAGGTGTTAGGAGAACAGAAACATTGCCAGTGACAGTGCAGAATAAACCTTCCCACTGCACAGACCTCAGGGCACATGGGGGCACCCTCTGTGTCAGATCCCAAAGGGGCAGGTGCCCTGAGAGCCCAGCAAGTTCCCACATGGACAGCTCCTCTCCATCCATGCCCAGGCTCTGGGAACATGCTGAATGCAAGCTGAGATGAGTGACAAGTGCTCCTACACAGCATTTCAGCACAAATGGAAGAGACTGCTTAGAAGCAGCTTGAGGGGTGGGTGAAAGACCTGAGTGCTGTGGAACAAAGCTTTCCTGCCTCCCAGAGCTGGGCTGCCAGGCAGGATGGGATGGAGGGGGAGCTGGCAGCACTGGTGCTGGGAGCTGCACTCACCCCGAGGCTCTGGCTCATCTCATGGTCCCTGTTTTCCTCAGAGAAGCCAATGAAACACAAAGAATTCCCATTTCTCCACAGTTCTACAGGTGTGGAGACAGCAGCCCAGCTCCAGCCTCTTCCCTGTGCTGTGAGCAGGAGGATGTTTCATCTCCTGCAAATGCAAAGAGATAACAGGGGTTTAGCACCAGGCAGGATTTGTTTCTGATCAGCCCAACAAAAGGACACACAACCCGTTTATCACTGGAAATTAATTGTGCCATCAATGCAGATGCCTGCAATTACTTCTGTTAAATATTATCTTTAATTAACTGTAAAATATATAATTAATAAACTTGCCCCCTCATTTTTGTTAAGTTTCACTGCTAAGACCTTATTACTGAAATAAATCTTCCTAGCAACACACGTTGACAGAACAGAGGAAGGTGCACGCCTCCAGCACAGGATAATTTCCTTATGGGAAGTGGAATTAGGAGGGAGGAATAATCACCTCTCTTCATGGCTAGGACTGGAGAGACACCCCACTCTGCCACCAGTTGTTTCAGCTTGTGCTGCTTGGAAGCAGGCACAGAGAATCTGCTTTGGCTGGCAGGGATGGCCTGCTCTGAAAGCTGTCAGGCAGATGCATGCTCGTCTTTTGAGCCTGGAGAAACAAAAAAATAAATTTCCTTTTCTGATTTATAGTCCATTAAAGAAGTTTTCTCACTGTAAAGCTGCACAGAAAGACCCTGGTGGTTAGGCTGGTTCTTTTAGAAGCCCTGTGCTGCTCCAGCTCTCAGTGCTGGGCTAGAGCTGCATGACTGATTTGTTTCCCTCTTACATCAGAACTGTTTGGATTCAGGGAGGTTTGGGGATGGCTCTTAAACCATCCCAATTAGAAATGCTTCAAAAACATTGCTGAAATTTGACTCCAAGCATAAAATTCCCCTTAGACTTTGTCTCCACTTGCGATCTTTACCTCAAGTTCGTTGATTGCCGGATTAACCAGCGGTAATTAAAACATTTCCAAAGGCTGTTCTGGGCAACACTTTTTGCCTTGCTGCAGGTGACAAATGTTTGTGGTTTGCCTGAGGCTGAGCATGCCAAACCCAGAGGAATGGCTGCTCCATCACCCTCCTCCCTGCCTGGGGAAGGTGGCACAGGGACAAGGCAGGAGTGTACGAGCACAGAGATGCAGCTCCTGGCCATGGAGACACATGAAGAGGCACACAGGAGGAGAAGGGCTGCATGGCTTTGGAGGAAATTCTGCAATTTCCCTGCTTTTGGAGGTACCTGGGTGGCCCCCAGCAGAGCCCACAGCCTGGCAGTGGCAGTGCAGGTGAACTTCAGAAACAGAAGCACGGCAGCACTGAGGCTGGGAAAGATCTCTGTGGTTACCAAGTCCAACTCTCCAGCCAGCAGCATCACCATGGTCACACTAAACCATGTCCTCAGGTGCCATTTGCACATCTCTTTTGGACACTTCTAGGGATGGTGGCTCCTCCACTTTGCTGTTCCAAAGCCTGACCACTCTTTCTGTGGAGAAATTTTTCCTAATATGTGGTCTAAACCTCCCCTGGCACAATTTTCCCTTCCAGGCCCTGGTTTGGTGCCATTTGGAGCTATTTCACAGAATCACTGAGGTTGGAAAAGCCCTCCAAGACAATCAAGTCCCACCTATGACTGATCCCCACCTTGTCCCCAGCCCAGAGCACTGAGTGCCACATCCAGGCATTCCTTGGGCACCTCCAGGGATGGGGACTCCAAACTTCCCTGTGCAGCCCATTCCAATGCCTGAGCAACCTTTCCATGGAGAAATTCCTCCTGATGTCCAACCTGAGCCTCCCCTGGCACAGCCTGAGGCCTTTTCCTCTTGTCCTTAGTGAAGAGAAGGATTCTCACCTTAACCACTGTACCAAGGTTTTAGCAAGGTTTTAGGACAGAGGGTGTCAGTTCCTGGCCATCCACTCCCACTTGGTCACCCCATTTTGCACCTGTGGGCAGACTAAAAAGGACTCTGTGGATTGTGAGTGCTGGAAATGCCCAACCCCTGACACAGAGCAGGTCCTGGCTCAAAAAAACATACTGGAGACCCTCACCCTGCTACAGCCTGAGTCTAAAGAAAGGGCTCCATTCTCCACTTCATTTAACTACCACTTAAAAATGGTGTCAGACAAATGTTAAAACAGCCAGCCAATTTGATTACACAAAAATTTTAGAGTCAGCAAATTATCTAGTGAAATGATGCATATAGAAATGTTAATTCAACAGCAACCAAAGCCTTCCACATCCCTTAACATCTAAAGATGATAATTCTACACAAAGAAAGGAGAGGCCTGAGCCTACTGTCCTTGCTGGAGAAATTACAGGAATATTCTAGTTCCCACCTACACAGTATCCTATATGCAGCAATATAAATAGCAGGGGCTGAGGGAGAGTTTAGAAGTGGGTTTGGGCTGCAAGCTCTGAAATCATATTATTTGCCCTGGGTTTGCTGGGAGAGAGGCTCCTGTATCAGCCCATTCCCACCATGTGCCTCTCTGCAGAATATTTCTGTATAAAAGTCTAATTCTCCTGTTCTATACAAAGCATGAAGGTACTTTATTTTGACACACACCCTCGGGAGTGAGGACCCTTTGTGCCCACTCCCAGGCATTTTGTTCCTCAGGATCCCTGCTGGATCAGACCAGGAGCACTGGAGAGGGAGAAGGGAAGAGTTAAGCAACTTAACTCTGTGGCTCTCGGGCCGCAGAAGGGGAGGGAGCAGGGAGGCAAAGCATCTGGCTTCCCTGCTTCCCTAACAGCCTGCCGGGAAGGCTGCTGTCAATTCCGCCTTCTGCCTTGTTGGAAGAAAGTAGAAGTGACAAGAGGCCCTCCAGGCAGGCAGCCAGCAACCAGAAATTCAATTGTGCTACCTCCTGAAACTGGACCTTTTTTTTGGAGACCCTTTCTCCCTGAAATTGTTTTGACTTTAAAGAAAGGACTGTCATCGCAGTCCAGGGCCAATCCATCAGCCCTGCTCTCCTGGCTCTCCTTGCCTCCATGCAAGCACATTTGCACAAAAGGATTTCCATTTTCTGGGCTGCTCTACAACCAGCCTCACCCACAATAAATACACAGACCCATAAATATGCACACACACACACAAACACTGTTATTTATAGGTACAGACAGACGCCCGGCCGGGTGTGCTCCCTCACTGTGTAACACCAGGGCTGCAGCAGCTGAATTTACTCCACACTCCCAGCTCAGCAAGCACAGTGTGGGCCATACGGTGTGTCCCAGGGGCTTAGACCAACTGGTTATTGGCTGGTGCTGTTGTTCCTCTAACAAGCCCCTGGATATGCGGCAGGGGCTGCAGAGAAATGCAGCTGGAGGAGCCTCTCCCTGCCAGCAGCAATCTGTCACTGCGCCCGCCCCACGCAGCACAAAAGCTGCACGCCAGGGGCAGCACAAAGGTCAGGCTGCAGGTAGGCTGGGGGGGTTCTTCATCTCTGGCAGCGTGCAGCCAGCTTGAGGCACCGTCTGGATGCTGCAGCAGGAATTTCAGCCTCACAGATGCCTGGCTATAATTTAAAACGAGGCAGCATTTCCATTACAAACCCCGTTTTTCCCTGTGGATTTATACCTCAGCTATTCAGCTCCACTTTGGGCTGGACCTTCTTCACATTTTTTCCTGCTCAACATTTAAATCCAGCTCAGCCTCTGTTGGTTGTGAGATGGAGAAGGAAATTACGTATGCACACAAACACTCACGAGCACACACAAAAAGCTTACACAAACATATGCCCGCAGAGAGATCTGTCACAAAAAACCAGACCAGCCAATGCAAATAAGCTCAATTTTAAAAGTGAATTAATTTGACTCGATTATTCTAAATTATTAACAAGTTCCAGCAACCTTAGAATGCAATAACCACACTTGAGCTTTCATCTAGGTTAAATGGAAACAGATAACTCACACTGATAGAGATGATACCAGTATCAATCTGTGACAGCAAAGCTGGAGGCACAAACCTGACCCACTCAGAGCCCCTCTCCTTGCAGCAGTGTGGCAACAACTCCTGGATGCTTCCCCTCCCCTGAAATACCCCAGTGCCATGAATCACCCCTGACAGAGCAGAGCAGAGCCCCCCTGTTGCCCTGGCTGCCAGGTGAAACCTGACCTGCTCCACACTCCTGTCTGTTTATGACTTGCTCTGCCTTAAAAAGCCCATTTTGTTAGGGATTTTTTTAACTCTCCATCGATTCTACTTTGATGTAGTCCAATAAAGCACATTGACAGGAGCAATTTATGTTGGTCAGTGCCTCCAGTTCCAAGGAGGGATATGAAGAAGGGTTAAGCACCTGGCAAGTACCATACAGGTTATCTAGTTATCCCAGATTACCAGGTCCATTCAATCCAAGCCCAGGCCTGAGATGAGGAATGACCTCCTGTTCCTCCCACTCCCAAGCAGAAATTGGTATGATTCTCTCTATGATCACTTCCTCACACCACACAGAAACATCAGGAAATGTGACAAGGATTTTCTCCATCTTAAAAGGAAAAAGCTGTAAGTGGCACTGGAAGGAGATGAGCATTTCCTCACCTCTGATGGCACAGAAACCAATCCTGGGGCACCAGAGCTGGCACTGGTACCAGCAGGGCTCAAGCACCTGGAAATTGTAAGATATTCACATTTCTGCACAGGTGTGCAAATGCAAATTGTTCCAGTGGCACAAAGATCTCGATGAGGCATTTAGGAATACCATGGATTTATCCTGTCAGCTGGAAATGTTGCTGGTGTCCACATGATATGCTGTACTCCCTCTTCCTTTCCTGGTTTCACACCCAGACCTTGCTCCTGAGGCTGGGGAAGCACTGACCAAGAGCATCACTCAGGGAAGACATTTAGTAGATGTTTAGGTGGCTCCTAAGTGCAACCTAACAGTTTCCTTGCCTCCTGCTAAGAGGGCAGAGGAGCAGAGCCGAGAGCTGCAGGGATTGGAAAACTCAGCTCAATTCAGCTACAGGGCACTTTAAAGTGCCTGTTGCATTTTTGATTTAAGCACAGCAAATCCCCTCACTAAGCAGCAGCTCAGGTGGCCATAACTCGTGGAATGCTAAGTGGGGAGCAGGTATTGGACAGGCCATGCATCAGGCAGAGCAGCTGGAGAGGGACATGTCCTTCCAGGGAGGAGATGCCACCTGTCAGCAGCGCCCGCCGCTCCCGAGGCATCCGACCATGCTGGATTCTCATCCATCCAAAGCTTCCTGCAGTCACCGGCCATGGATAGGGTTTCACTCCTCGCCAGCTGGAGCTCCAGGAAAGGCAAATCCAAGTCTCTCTCCAGAGATGAGGATGAGGGGGGAACAGAGAGGCTGCAGTCGTGACAGCAGAGATGGCCCTTGGGCACCTCCTGTGCCAGCGGGACATTTGGGTGCTGAAAATGCAGCTCAGCACTTACAAAAGGAAAAGAACACAACAAAAACTTGGTCTTGAAACCCACCCAGACCTGCTGCCCCTGTGCCAGGCTCCCAGGGAGCCCCTGCTGCAAGAAGGGGGACAAGGCACCATTATTTGCCATGAGGCTGTGAGCACCTAACTTAGGGCTCTTCATTTATCAGAGGAAGAGCTGCAGAGCCTCCTGTCTCCTCACAGAGAGCCCTGCCCAGCACCAACAG